CCCCCAATTGCCCCCTCTCCCCAGATTGCAGCCTGCGGCAAGTGCAGCCGGGCTGATGGCCGAGTGCTGTGATGTGCCCAATGTGGGTAGTCCGGGCAATCCAAGCCAGGACTGCTTTGCAAGCGGGGCACCCCTTAGAACTGTCTGTCCGGGGTGGGGGTCGGGACCCTTTAAGCACAGCCCTCGGCTAGCTTGAGACAGCATCTCCACGCTCTAAGTCCTCCTCTGATGCCCTGCCGGCACTGCTTCCGGCCATCCTTAAGCCTGGTTCAGGGTCCACTTAATGTGGACATGCTAGTTCGAATTAGCAAAACGCTAATTCGAACTAGTTTTTTAGTCTGGATCCGTTAGTTCGAATTAGCTTAGTTCGAATTAACTAATTCAAACTAAGTTAGTTCGAATTAACGTTGTAGTGTAGACGTACCCATATTGAGTAGAATCCACTGGTCATGAGGCAATTTAACTTTATAAACCTGTTCCTGAAAGCATTGAAGCATGTGAATAGCTTCACTGATGGGAATAATTCCTCTGAATACTTTATAAAATATAACCACTCATGCTTTATTCTGCCAGGTCTTTTGAGTCTGTATGATAGCTCTCATAAAGACAACTGTCAACACTATGTTATTAAAGTACCAAACTATCCCTTATATTAAACAAAATAGTTTTACTAAGACACTGGAAAACTCATAGTTCTTCCCTAGGCTTGATGTTGAAATCAGATATAGCATGGGTCATTGTGGTGGGAAGATGGAAGGGAATGTTGTAAAATAACTCACCATAAATTCCTATATATCTATGCCTGCATTTTATAACTCAATTGTCCAAATAGAAATGTTTTTTCAGATTAATTTCATGTTGCTTCTCATTTTATGAAAACAAGCATACATGAAAATAGTAAGCAATTTTCGGCTGAGAAGTAAGAAGGATTAAAAAGTGTAGATGAAGAAAACCGAATTGTACATGAATCTGAATAAAGTGATATTCTTTTGCATTGCTAAGTTATGTTTATTATAATCAGACTGCACTTTGACCTACAAATATAAAATACATGTTTCTTTTTTCTAATAGCAAATTCCAGATGTGTCTCCAACAGGTCGTTACACAACATTGGTTCCTCTATTATTTATTTTAGCTGTAGCAGCAGTCAAAGAAATCATAGAAGATATTGTAAGTATCAAATACAATTACTTCCTAAATAAATAACTTTTAATATTCATGCATCTCCAAAATTAAAATTGACAGTAACAAATAACAAAATGTTTGTTAAGTACATTCGAAGCAGAAAGCCTACTAACCAGCCAGTGGGGTACCTGGATGATCGAGATACAAAAGGAGCACAATAAAGTCATTGCGGAGAAACTAATTGAATTCTTTGCGTCAGTCTTCATGGCTGAGGATGTTAGGGAGATTCCCAAACCTGACCCATCCTTTGTAGGTGACAAATCTGAGGAATTGTCACAGATTGAAGTGTCATTAGAGGAGATTTTTGGAATTGATTGATAAACTTAACAGTAACAGTCACTGGGTCCAGATGGCAATCACCCAAGAGTTCTGAAAGAATTCAAATGTGAAACTGTGGAACTATTAACTATGGTTTGTAACCTATCCGTTAAAACAGCGTCTGTGCCCAATGACTGGAAGATAGCTAATGTAACGCCAATATTTAAAAAGGGCTCTAGAGGCGATCCCAGCAATTACAGACCAGTAAGTCTAAAATCAGTGCCGGGCAAATTAGTTGAAACAATAGTAAAGAATAAAATTGTCAGACACATGGAAGAACCTTCAGGGGGTACCCAAGTTAGTCTGTACAGGATAAACTTAAAAAACAAAAAAAGGTTTGGTAGCACTTTATAGATTAACAGAACATGACTGGAGTTATGAGATTAGGATGTGCAGACCCAAAATAAAGAGGGGAGAAGGGAGAGGGAGGAGGGAAAAAGAGAAGGGGACAGGAAACAACTCATAACTCCGGTCATCTGAAGAAGTGGGCTGTGCCCATGAAAGCTCATGATACCATCTACATGTTTTGTTAATCTATAAAGTGCTACCAGACCTTTTGTTGTTTTTTAAGTCTACATAGAAACATAATTTTTTGGGCAAAAGTCAGCATGGTTTCTGTAAAGGGAAATCATGCCTTAATAATCTATTAGGGTGTGTTTACACTAGCTCATTAATTTGAGCTAGGTAGGCAAATCAGGGAACTGGGGTTGCAAATGAACCCTGGGATTTAAATATCCCGGGCTTTATTTGCATGTTCCTGTCCAGCTGCTATTTTAAATTCCCCCTTAGTCCGAACGAACTGCCCGCGGCTACATGTGGCAGTTTAAAGTTAATCCGAACTAAGTCCTTAGTTCGGATTAATTGTTATTCCTTGTGGAATGAGGAGTAACAGTTAATCTGAACTAACGACTTAGTTCGGATTAACTTTAAACTGCCGCGTGTAGCCGCGGGCAGTTCGTTCGGACTAAGGGGGTTTAAAAATGGCGGCCGGACGGGAACATGCAAATAAAGCCCGGGATATTTAAATCCCGGGTTTCATTTGCAACCCCGGTTCCCTGATTTGCCTACCTATTTCGAATTAACGAGCTAATGTAGACATACCCTTAGAGTTCTTTGAAGGGGTCAACAAACATGTGGACAAATGGGATCCAGTAGATATAGTGTACTTATATTTCCAGAAAGCCTTTGACAAGGTCTCTCACCAAAGGCTCTCACATAAATTAAGTTGTCATGGGATAAGAGGGAAGATTCTTTCATGGATTGAGAACTGGTTAAAAGACAGGAAACAAAGGGTAGGAATAAATAGTAAATTTTCAGAATGAAGAGGGGTGATCAGTGGTGTTTCCCATGGGTCAGTCCTAGGACCAATCCTATTCAACTTATTCATAAATGATCTGGAGAAAGGGGTAAACAGTGAGGTGGCAAAGTTTGCAGACGATACTGAACTGCTAAAGGTAGTTAAGACCAAAGCAGACTGTGAAGAACTTCAAAAAGATCTCACAAAACTAAACGATTGGGTAACAAAGTGGCAAATTAAATTTAATTTGGATAAATGCAAAGTAATGCACAATGGAAAAAATAACCCCAACTATACGTAAATATGATGGGGGCTAATTTAGCTACAGCTAATCAGGAAAGAGATCTTGGAGTCATTATAGATAGTTCTCTGAAAACATCCACGCGGTGTGCAGCGGCAGTCAAAAAAGCAAACAGGATGTTAGGAATTATTAAAAAAGGGATATAGAATAAGACGGAGAATATCTTATTGCCCTTATATACATCCATGATATGCCCACATCTTGAATACTGTGTACAGATGTGGTCTCCTCATCTCAAAAAAGATATACTGGCATTAGAAAAGTTCAGAGAAGGGCAACTAAAATGATTAGAGGATTGGAATAGGTTCCATATGAGGAGAGATTAAAAAGACTAAGACTTTTCAGCTTTGAAAAGAGGCTATTAGCAAGGATGGGTAAGGAATGGTGTCCCTAGCCTCTGTTTGTCAGAGGGTGGAGATGGATGGCAGGAGAGAGATCGCTTGATCATTACCTGTTCAGTTCACTCCCTCTGGGGCACCTGGTATTGGCCACTGTTGGCATACATGATATGGGCTGGATGAACCTTTGGTATGACCCAGTGTGGCCATACTTATGTTCTTATGTTAATATCTATATTCTCAAGTTACACAGGATTTAATGCTTGGTACGTGGAGATTCTCTTGAACAACAGATGAAAACCATGAACGATAGTGGAGATAGTTTTATGAAAATATATATGATACTGTGAGTTGGTATCCATTTGGTAGATTGTACAGGAGTGTGATAAATGTATTGCATACTAATGCATTTTTATCATATGCCTGTAACCTCATTACTTGCCACTAATCCAGCTCCTTAGGATTTATTCTAACTCTCTAAACAGCTTCAAACATAATTTTTGTGTTTTTCTTCTAGAGAAATATTTCCTTCTCCCTCCAAATGTAGAATCCCTTCTTCCCAAAATTATTTCTGAAGTGTGATGGTTTTAAAGTGTAATATCTTCAGGGCTAGAAATGAGAACTTTATATGTCTATAAAGAAGAAATGCCCTGCTTTCTAGTGTGTCTCAAACACCTTTCTGTCAGTATAATTATGTCCATAGTAGAGGAGATGTACCTGTGTAGTTAGAGCTTTGTAAAATCAGTGTGCAGACAAGCCTCAACTTTCCCTCAGTAATAAAAGAAGTCTTTAGTGGCTCATTCTACCCTAAGGGAAGTCTGCTGGAGGGTAGCTGGGAGCTGTTCTTTTCTTCCCTGTTAGGGTGGTATCATTGGGTGTCAGAGGGTAAGAATCTAGGGTGTGTCTAGACTATAAGGTTTTTTTTTCAAAAAAAGTGGCCTTTTTTCAAAAAAAAACTTCACCTGCATCTAGACTGCTGCCGCGTTCTTTCAAAATTAAATCGAAAGAATGCGGCAGTTTTTTCGACCATGGAAAACCTCATTTTACGAGGAATAACCTTTTTTTGAAAGTGCTCTTTCGAAAAAAAGCGTTATTGAATGTAAACAATGCTTTTTCGAAAGAGAACATCCAGACTGCCTGGATACTCTCTTTCGAAAAAGTGGCTCTCTTTTTCGAAAATACTGGTTGGTGTCTAGACGATCTCATTCGAAAGAAGCTTTTTCGAAAGAGGCTTGTAGTCTAGACGTAGCCCTACAGTATAAGAGGAGCTGCAGAGTGAGATTAGTGAAAACTGCATGTTGAGTATCAGTCTGTCTTAATTCTTTGCATAAGGCCATCTTAGATCAGTACGTTCAGCCTGGAAGTCTTATGTGGAGTGGGAGAGGGAAGATCCTTCCCCATAATCCCTTTTTATTGCTTGACTGCTGCAATACAAACAAGCTTAATTTTATATCTTTCTTTGAGGTAACTTCTGCCTATTCCTACAAATACAGTGTGTCCCAGAGCTAAGAAACTAAGCAACCCCAAGCAGCCTCACTTCTTCCTTTCCACAGTTAGCTATAACTGTGGGCACCAGGATCCACAAAGTGGGGAAAACCTGATGGAGTCATGAGGAATGACTAGAAGTTCTAGGCTCAGAAACAAGAGAGTTAGAACTGAGATTCCAGTCCACAACAAGACTCCTGGTTCTTGATCTTATAATTGAGGCAACAGAAGAGCAGAACCAAAGCTACTTCAAACATATGACCCAAGTTTGATCACAGACCAAAGGACATTTGGGACATGTAAACCCACTTAGTTAGAACTTTTCTGGTTCCACAATGACCTGAAACTCAGATGAACCTTGTAATCTAAGATCCAGGATCCAAGACTTTGGCTTTTGATTTCCCCATATCAAACCTTGCCCTGACACCTTTTGTAGGAATAGGCAGATGCTATCTCAAATAAAAATGTTCTGAGTGCCCAAATACCTTCATGTTTCACATTGTGTCCACTGTTCACAAAAAGGATCAAGTAAAAGCTATCCTTCTGATCTGAAGTATGTACATGGGTTTTTTTTATTTGGAATCTTAGTTTCAGAGACTGTCCTTGGTGCCACCTGAGAATGGCTTGGAGGCTCACCTGGTCAGTTCCTTTGCCCTAGGGGTTACATTTTCCGTATCTGGCTTCTTTCAGGACCTTTCAGACTTCTTGAAGTACAATTATGCAGATTCATTTTCGTTCCCTGTAACTTATAGATAATGCATGGTGACGCCAACAAAATTCTGCCATCTGATAATGGCTAGACACAGTCATGAAGCTGTAATTATTGCTTACTGTGAAAATGTGCTCATTGTTATCCCTATCCACCATCTTTCCTTTCCTAATCCATGTCTGTTTTCATTCTCCTGTTGCATTTTGCCAGATATATATTATCAGATTTCTGTCCAAGATCAAAGAGAAAGAATCAGAAGATATCACTGTTGAAGATCACATGCTTGCTAAACTATCTTTCATACTTCATACAATGCATCAGATATCTATGTGAGAATTATGGCATCTGGTAGCATAGGACATTGGCTATTTCCATATTCTGAATGCCATGAGCATGTTTTTCTTTAATATAGGAGACAATTGACACTGAACTGTTTCTAAAGAAATGAGATGATTTCCTCTGTAGGTAGAGAATAACAATCTCTTTTTGAGTGATTGTTCACTCCAATTCCACTCTTGGTGTATGCAAAATAAGATTCTTTTTTAATTGTCTGTGCTCCTCATATCCTCTCTGCTATCATAGACGAGGACATAAGAAACTGGATGTCTGCAACCCTCACTCAATTCCTTCCTAAAGCTCCTGGTGGGAGATGGAAAACAAGCAGGCTATGTCTACACTCACGGCTTCTTACGCAAGTGTTCTTGTGCAAGAACTCTTGCGCAAGAAAATGTCCACACTGCCATGTGTGAGCTGTGCTTTTGCGCAAGAGCACCCATGGCAGTGTGGATGCTTTCTTGTGCAAGAAAGCTCTGATGGCCATTTTAACCATAGGGCTTTCTTGCGCAAGAAATCCCTGCTGAGCATCCACACTGCCCTCTTGCGCAAGAGCTCCTGCGCAAGAGGGCTTACACCTGTCAAAAAAGAGCGTAGCTATTGTGCAAGGAGCCCCCTCTTACCACGCCGTACTGTAAATGTACTTGCACAAGAGCAGGTGGGCAGTGTGGACGCTCTGCAGATTCTTGCGCAAGAACGGCCGTACTTGTGCAAGAAGCCGCGAGTGTAGACATAGCCGCAAGATTTGTTTTTTGTGCATCATAGCTTTTTGTACACACTTCATGAACTCATGTAGCTTTATGTTTTTATTTCTTACATTTATTTAGTTCCTTTTGTTTTTGTGGAAAAAAAGAAGCAACCTCACCTATGAGCTCTCTCCTCCCTGCCTCTTCTCCCCTCTCCTCCCCCCCTCCCCCCCCCGCAGCCCATTCCAGGTTGATACTTTCACATCATTGTGGATTGCAGTTCTCCTGGCTTCAAGACCTGTCCATTGTTTGATTCCACCGTGATCATTAACAGTAACACACCAGATGTGGAGAAGCTAAATGAATTATTTGCATTTGTCATCAGTGTAGAGGATGTGACGGAGATTCTCACGCCTAAACCATTCTTTTTAGGTGACAAATCTGAGAAACTATTCTAAACTGTTCTAATCTGAGAAACTATTCCAAACTATTCAGTAGAGGAAGTTTGGGAACAAATTGATAAATTAAATAAAAAGTCATCAGGTTCATATGCTATTCACCCAAGAGTTCTTAAGGAACTAAAATTTGAAATTGCAGAGAACTACTAACTGTGCTATGTAATTATTGCTTAAGTCAGCCTCTGTAATACGTGACTGGAGGACAGCTAATGCTTATGCCATTTATTTAAAAGGCGCCCGAAACTATACTGGCCGTTACAGGCTAGCAACTTCATTAGCAGGCAAACTGGCTGAAACTATGGTAAAGAACAGAATTATCAGACACACAGATGAAAATAATATGTTTAGGAAAACTCAGTGCTTAGGAAGTGAATTTTCAGAAAGCCTCCTGATGAGTTTTCTCACCAAAGGCTCTTACGGAAAGTGCACAGGCAAAGGATAGGAGGAAAGGTCCTCACATTGATCTGAAAACTGGTTAAAAGATGGGAAACAAAAGGTTAGAAATAAATGGCCACTTGCACTGTGGAGAGAGATAAATTGTGGGATTCACCAGGGGTTTCTACTGGGACCATTCCTTTGAATGTATTCATAAATGATCTGGAAAAGGGAGTAAACAGTGAGGTAACAAAATTTGCAGATGTTACAAAATTACTCAAGATAATTAAGTGCAAAGCAGACTGTGAAGAGTTAAAAAGGGCTCTCACAAAGCTGGGTGACTGATCAACAAAGTGGCAGATGAAAGTCAGTGTTGATAAATGCAAAGTAATGTGTATAAGGAAAAATAATCCTAACTATACATACAAAATGATGGGGTTTAAATAGCTGTAACCTCTCAAGAAGTTGTCATGGAAAGTGCTCTGAAAACATCTCACTGTGCAATGGAAGTCAAAAAAGCTGAGAGAATGTTTGAAACCATTAGGAAAGGAATAAGTTGATAGTGCTTTGAATATTATAATATTTGTTTCTGAATTCTACTTTTTACCTGGTTATCAAAATAACTATTTTAACTCAATTAACAGTTGTGCATTTTTTATTCTAGAAAAGACATAAAGCTGATAATGTAGTGAACAAGAAACAGACACAAGGTAAGAACCATTTTTAAAAATCACTTAATTATACAACAACAAAAATGCAATCTGAATGCTATGTGTATTTTTTATGGTTCTTTGGTTTCAGATTTGTTGGTATTATGTTTCAAATCACAGAGTGTACAACTTTACACTTTTAGATGTTTAGAATATAAAAACCTGATTTATGTGTGTTCAAAATAATGTGTTCTAAATGTTCAAAATAAACACTTTGAATACAAGTAGTTAACAAATACTACTATGAAAAAAAAAGCTTATGCACAGTTCCAGACAGGATGACAGAGTAAGGAACAGCTAACTCATGGAACAATTATGGTTAAGAAGCCTTTTATAGGTCCTGACTCTTGATCCAATAAAGAGGAGTTGAAATAATTCATCATATCCTGTTATTCCTTTATTATTGCTTGCCTGGGAGAAACACATGGGCTGTGTCTACATTGTCATCCCTTTCTGGAAAAGGGATGCTAATGAGACACATCACAATTGCAAATCCGCGGGGGATTTAAATATCCCCCGCGGCATTTGCATTTACATGGCTGCCGCTTTTTTCCGGCTTGGGGATAAGCCGGAGAAAAGCACCAGTCTAGACGTGATTCTCCGGAAAATAAGCCCTTTTCCGGAGGATTTCTTATTCCTACTTTCAAAAGGGCTTATTTTCCGGAGAATCACGTCTAGACTGGTGCTTTTCTCCGGCTTATCCCCAAGCCGGAAAAAAGCAGCAGCCATGTAAATGCGAATGCCGCGGGGGATATTTAAATCCCCTGCGGATTTGCAATTGCGATGTGTCTCATTATCATCCCTTTTCCGGAAAAGGGGTGCAGTGTAGACACAGCCATGGACTTGTGGATCTGACTAAACTAGAGAAGCAGTCCTCTAGAAAGGAGGGCCCCATGGATAGATGTGGTCACACTCGCTTCATTATTACAGGATTGGACAATGCTGCATGGACTGCAAAACTTGTGATCTGGTTTTTTTAGAAGCTTCCTGGAGAGGTTTTGTGGGATGTTTTTCAGCTTGAATTTGAACCTTAGAGGACCAAGGAAATGAGGAAGAAGTGTTTTCCAATATCACCCTGATAAGAAACTGGACACACAGACACTGCAGACTGTCCAATTGAGCAGAGCATAATGTCCGTTGGCATGTCAGTACCTGAGCCAGAAGACATTTTTTTATTCCCCAAACTGCATTTCCTGATTCAATGAAGCTGGACAGACCAAGCAAACAAAAGAGCAGATCCCTTTTCTTCTTTTATGGTTAGGTCCACAGATCCTCAGTTTGAGACATTGCATTTTGTAACTGGTAAAAGTCAGAATCAAAGCTGAATTTATGGCTGATCAAGGGACTAGCCCCCATCTTCTGTAGCTCTCCCCCACTCAGTTTTGTTCTGCATTCTCTATCTATTGGCAGGGCTGTTGAATCCAGATTTACCGCAATAGAAAAAATGATAACACACACACTCTGTCTCTGTCTCTGTCTCTCTCGCTCTCGCTCTCGCTCTCGCTCTCTCTCTCTCGACAGCTGGAATGGTCACAAAGCTACTGTGCCCCTTTTACCTAACTGCTCATATGAAAAGCTAGTAGGATGGCAGAGAAAGTTCCAAATGGGACCTTTGTGGTTGTGTTCCTTCTTTTCTGTATTCTTGCCTGAGGATGTAGGAGAGGTTTATGACTTGTGCACATCAGCTATCTTGTCCACTGGATTGGAAAGGCTTTACTTTGGCTAGAATATATCACAGTGCATAGAGCAGCCAGTAAAATTCTTTTGGATGCTCACTCTCCTGCAATGCATATTTCTCATCATAACCCCCCTTTCTTGGTTGGGTAGTCCATTCTCCTTCTCTTAGTCCTGGAGGAAGTTAAGAATTCTACATGAGGGGAAAAAAAGGAAATCTTCCCCTCAGGAAGTAAATCCCCTCTGCAGCTCTTGATTTTGGTGTAAAAAGTGCCTACATCTCAGAGGCTGCCATCTTGTGAGTTCCAGGCAGCAGATGCAGCATCTCTTTCCAGGCATTCTATCTACTCTCAAAAGGATACAGATAAAGAGATGCCTATTAGCAGAAGAGGGTCATAGGATTCCTTATCTGATTCATGTTTCCAATTCACACCTTCCAAAAAGGAACTAAATTTAGAAAAATGGAAAAGAGATTCAAGAAATTACTTTCAGAAATTTAAGAGATGCTTGTTCTTAAACCTGTTTTTCTTGGAATAGCAGTTTCTCTGACTAAATACTGGAGGACACCAATGCTAAAAGCTCTGTGCACAAGGTTTTCATACATGGAAAAAACAGAATAATAAATGGAATAGAATTATTTGTGTCTGTTTTTTTTTGTCTCCTCCTCCTAACATTAATTTTCATCTTTATCTTAATGGACATCACCAAAGAAAAAGAAGGCTAGGAAAACTGTTTAGTCGAAGTCCAATAGAGGAAAAAAGAAGTCAAAGGAAAGTCAGAGTCTTCTTTACAGAAGGAAGATAAATTTTTTGCCTCGAAGGATGAATCACAAGATGAAGTGAAGCAGGAGGATTTTTTTTCAGCTGAAACATTAAGATGTTACTTCAATATTCTGTCAGATGAGCCCATTAGAAAAGATTCTAAGGAGGAAGAAGAGAGACTTGGTACAGAAATTAAAAACATATGTTTTTTCTAACAGGTTCAAGATCTGAACCACTCATTCCTCTTCCTGTCTATTTGGAAAATGTAATGAAGATCAAATAGGAAATACCACCAAATTCTATTAAATTGTTCAGGCATACTAACATCTACATCATGCAACATAGCAAAGCACATTTTGTTTTTCTTCCTAAAGAAGACAGGTTGTTTTCAACACTCATCAGAAACATTGCTGTCCCTTTGTAAGGGGACTTTTTCTCAAAAGAATCCAATGACTGCAGAGAAGAAATGTCAATGTGCCAAATATTTGAAGCTGCATCTTACTTTCTGAGAGCAGCAACATCTTTTAGATGAGCAGTACTGCATAGACTGACAGTTTGGTAACAGACTGCCTAAAAAGGCTAGGAAATAATTGTGGTTAGGCTCAGAGTTAAAAAAAATGTCAGTGGCTTCAGCATTCACAGATAGTGCAGCTCCAGGGATGCTTTGATGTTTTCAATACATGTCCTGGCCTCCAGCATGGTGACCAGATTGCACCTTTAGTTATGATCCTGGAATGATGATATATAGATCAAAATCATGTAATCAGCTTCAAAATATTCTGGTTGTCAGTTATTTGGAGAGTCATTAGATGAAGGGAAGGGGGTAGAATCCTCAGATAATCAAAAAAAGCCCTTAGTGATTCATCCCAACTCCAAATTCAGGAAAAGGAATAGTCTGACTTATTAGGTCTAAATATCTTGTTTTGTGGCTACTCTAGCATGGAAAGTGAAACTACAGCAAAAATAAATGGAACAAGTCTAAGCTCAGAAAGGGGAGAAGCCAATCTTCCAGTAGTGCAAATTTGAACACTATAAACAATACCTGTCTACAGTCAAGTGAGTTCCGATAAGCAACATTTGGTGGGGAGAGGAAACTATTAAAATTCAAGGAACAGTGGCCTGGAATTGTAGGACTGAAAGGAACCTTGAAAGGCCATCTAGACAAGTCCCCTGCAGTCATGGCAAGACTAAGCATTATCTAGATAATCCCTGACAAATGATTGTCTAACTTGCTCTTAAAAATCCCCAGTGATGGATATTCCTTAATTCCTGTCAGTAATTTAATTCCAGTACTTAACCAGCCCACCAGGAAGTTTTTCCTAATGTCCAGCCTAAATCTCACTTGCTGTGAATTAAGCCCATTGCTTCTTCTCCTATTCTCAGAGAGTAAAGAGAACGATTTTTTATCCCTTTTTTTGTAACAACATTTTATGTACATTAATGTGTCTCTCCATGTTGGAAGGTTGAAACCTTGAAGTAGTTCAACAATTATACATAATATTATCAAAAATATTGAAGTGTCATTTTCCCCCCTTTTCCAGTATCCTCAAATCCACAAAAAAGGTTAAATATATTAAATTCTAGAGAACATGTGACGGCCCGGCCCGCGTGGGTGCGAGCGCCCCCTTCCGGCGGGGGAAGGGGGGTTCAGCGGACCCGCCGTCTGGCTGTTTGAGTGCGATCACCCGGCCGCGAGTCCGGACCGGGGATCAGCGAACTCGGGGTTCCTTTTTCTCGGGGCTGGCCCGGGGTTCCGGGCTGCCCGGGGTCCCGGCGAGGGGACGGGGTCGCCTCCGGCGGCCTGCCCGTAAGTCGGGTCCCCGTCGGGACAGTCCAAGTGACAGGGTCCTCGCCCTTTTATCTAGTCATCCCAGCGGGGTTCTGTGGGTTGGGGTCTCGTGGTAGGGAGGGGGGACGTGGGGGACCCGGGCCCGCCCTCTCCACCGGGTCCCAGCCCGGGGCCCTAAGTGGGGGGGGAACAAAGTATCCGTTCCTCCCACGACATGCGGGGTTTATCCCCGTAACGCGCCTGTCCACGGGCGCCAGAAGGCCCCCGCCCCGGGCTGCTTCCACTCCCCGCTCCCCTCTTCCCCGGCGGGGGGAGGCCCGCAGTCACTTACCCCGCCCGAAGCGCCGGTCTCATCCTGCGGCCGTCGTGAGGGTTCAGGGTCGCTCCCTCGTCTCCTCCAGCGCGGGGGGGGTTCCCCTCGGCGGCTAGGTCGGCGGTGGTGGCGGCAGCTCTCCAGAGTGCCGCCTCGTCCTGCTCCGCCGGGCCGCTTTTCAAGCGGCCCGGGTGATGACGTCAGGGGCGCCCGGGCCGCCCCCCCGGTGTCCTGGCGGCCGTTGACGTCACGGCCAGGGCGTCCCGGCCTGACGCCGGTTCCGTGCGGCTCTGGCCGGGCGGAACGCCGGGCGGACTCCTCGCCCCTCCGATGGGGCTGTCCCTGACCCCTCCTTCCCCGCCGGGGGTTTAGCCGCCCCTCCCCCTGCGGGGTTTCTTCCCCGGACCGCTCTCCCCTGCTCTCCCGGCTGCCTGCCGGTCCGTCCGGCGGCCCCCAGGGGGCGCTGATGGCCCCGGTTCTAGTGCGGACTGATGGGGGTCCGTCACAAACATGTTTTGCAAATCAACAGAATAGCAAGAGTTCCTGAGCTAAAGATGTTCTCTTGTTTCTGGTACCCAGGAGATCTGGGGGGATAAGAGAGTTAGTTGTGTGGATTTACCACACAACTCGGAAGTTCATAACGGGGGATTAGATTCAAGATGGAAAACTTGAAGTCAGGAACAATGGCAATATGCCAGGGGATTACTTTACATTAGTCTATTTGAAAGAGGCCTAACTTCATGTTCCAGTTCACCATGGCCACAGGAAATAGCTGTGATTTGCTGATGATACCAATAATTCTCAATGCAATGCTCAGGTAAATAAAGTGTCTGGTGGCCTGTCAGGGGCTAACCCTGGCGAACCATGTCTAGTTCATGGCTGTTGATTGCCCACTCCTGATCTAGATCCTTAGTTCTTGCCTCAGCACAGGGAACTGGAATGATTGGCCTGTTGAGGTCCCCTTCATTCCTACATTTCTATTTTTCGATTATTATCTAACACTATAAAAGTCTTATAAAAATTAATTTTAATTTATATGGCACCTTTTATACAGACTATATATTATAATTGAAATGCTTGACCTGAAATAGGGGAGAACATATAGTGTTATGTAAAATACTGTGTGCATATACAGGTTGGACCTCCCTGATCCGGCACTCTCAGAATGAGGGAGTTTGCCAGACCACGGGAGGTCAAGGTTCCCCTGCAGGCTGTCCTGCTCCCAGGCTCCCAAGACTGGGGTTTCCACTCTGCTGCTGCTTGCTGCCGCCAAAGTTTCCTGCCTGGCTGCTGCTGGCCCTGCTGCCACTAGAATTCCCTGAGTTCCGTTTCAGGGTAACCTGACCACCGCCAGCCC